AAATGTCTATATAGCACCAAAAAGGATTCTTCTATTGTTGCAAGCTTAACATCATAACAACAGAACCCTTTTTGGTGTTATACAGAACAACGTTCAACAAGCTTTGACATAGAACCACATACTATTAACCACATTATGTGTACTACAGGTCACCTTTGCAGCCAAGACACTGGTAAATTCTGATGGGTGATTCTAGCTAGAACTTAGTAAAGTGAGGTGTGATATCATCACTGTCCAGAATAAAACTGACCCACAAGGCCATGAGAGCCAGTGGAGAAGAAAAACGATAGTGAACAAACTCAAATCAGCGGAGATATCGCTGCTGCATCTCGGCATGTCCAGACATGTCCCTCTTCCGCACTTCGCCATCATCTCATCCTCAGCAATTAACTGCAGTGAAGAGAAGCTATGTGCTGGAAGGAAATGAACTTAATTTGAGGAGAAAATTGCACTTGTCTGCCCCATTGTGTGCCAGCGCCATCTCCTCAGCACACTCTGACCTTTTGTTTGCTTTCTCATTGTGCTTAACACAATCCGCCAGAAGAATATCCATTTGCTCGACACAGGCCTGAATTAGCGCTCACAGCGAGCCATTAGAGCTGCCGCACACGAGAAGGCAACGTTTCCAGCTCTTTTCATACTGACAAGATGATTTCTGCAGCATCACATGCTGAAGAAAAAAAAATAAAATGTCATGGAGGAGGAGATATTCTAATGGAATTTGGGGCGGAAGGGGTCGGTCAGCATTTGGGGGCAAAACCAAAAGTTTCCTACATTTTGTTACAACGTAAACAAGACCAGTTAAAGAAAATATGAACCAGTGGGGACTTGAACTGGCGTATAACATTGATTACCAGTCTACTTGCAATGTAATTGGGGCTGCACTGCTATGGGAATTGTGCCAGTATCAAAAGTTTTCTCCATTATGATTTGTTGCTGACACAAACATTCATAAAAACATAGAAAAGCAAGTATAGAAGCCTATCGCAGTAACAATAAATATCATATTGCCTACACCTAATGTCATGTTACCAATTACATTTTTTCATCCTTTTCCCTTTATAAAACCTTGATTTACTTGCATTTCTCCAATAAAATGTTTCTGAATCTTTACAGGACTACAGTTGGTTTGTTACTCCTCATGTAAAGCTGTTTTTTTAAACTCTGATCACTCGACCACTCGCAAAAATAATCAGTAGCCTAATTGATTACCAATATAATCAATAGTGAGAGCCCTACACAAAACAAATATGCCTTTATCTTTCTCTGCAATACTACTGTGAACACAAGACAGTGCTTACAGTCACATTATAAAGTGTTTAAAGTGCTTGTTTTGGTCTTGTTTACCATTTTAGAGCCACGCTGCTATCAGTACTTCTACCCACACAGAGATCTGACCCTTAGATCAGCCTTGCCCCTCACTGTAAACAATCCCTACTAAAAAGGTCCAAAGAGCAGAGCAAGGCCTTTTCGATTAGCTCATAATTGAGTGGGCTGCTCAGGAAGTGAGGTTGACCGAATGAGCATCCAGTCCACAGATTATTCGAGAGGCCCACTGGTCGTGCAGCTTGGACAAAAGCGCATAAACATGCACGCACATGCAGTGTAAACTCTACTAGTCCAACTGCTTTTTGTGCTTCATGAAAATCAGTATATACAAAGAACAGACATTTAACCGCTGCACAGAGGCAAGAATGGAGCGAGGACACGGACACACACACACACACACACACACACACACACACACAGGAAACACATGAATGGGGCCACTGTGCATGGTCTTCATGTTTCTCGGCATGAAAGACAAACAAACAGAGGCATTACTCATGATCTCTCCCAGAGATGAAGGAAGACAGGGCAAGGGAAAAAAACGAAAAGCTCGCTCAATCTCAGCACCGGACCGCCGCTCTCTGACCTTAGGAGGGCATGAGCACTTCCTCTCCTCAATCTCTCCTCAGTCTCTGCACCACTCAGCCCAAGCTTGGACAAATCAACCCAGATGTTTCCATTGCACTCTCAGATTAGCCCTCTTCGCTTAAAGCTGTTTGGGTTCAGTGCCCCTCCAGTGCCACAATCAGTCACAATCAAGTACTTTGTTCAGACTTGTTTTTAAAAGTCACAGTTGAAGAGCAACCTACTCCATAGACAAGCACTACAGTGACAACTGCTGCTTTCAAAATTAATGCAATTAATTTTCAAAGTTCTCCACAAAATCTATTTTAACTTGGCCCTTCTAACACCCTGTATCTATGGCAATGGTACACACAATATTTTAGTAGAGCTGAATGATTATTCATTTTCATAGCAAAAATTGAAGGAGAGCAAAACAACAATAATCCCATTTAAATCACAACCAATACTGGTCAGAAAAAACACAATTAGATGTTTTCCACAAATTGTTCTACTCTAGGCACGAACTCGAACTCGACCTCAACGTCATCTGTTGGGCAAAAGGCACTTTATCACGAATGAAAACTGTTTTCATGATCTGTAATCTTTTGACTTAATCTTCATATTTTGCATATCTACAGAGGTCTTCCACAGGTGTTTGCCAAGCATCTTCAGACAATGAACGCAGCATTAGTTTTATGAGCCCATGAGGCTCATGTTCTTAAATATACTTCATTTTACTGTTCTCTTTCACCCAGTTTCTTCCCAATGTAGTTATGGCCAATTCCACCAGTTAGCTAGGTTTCCCCGGTGCTAATGCCACAGCTGAACATGCGTGGAGAACGCTTACTGATAATTCTGTTATGTCAGCTCATAGATGTCCATCTTGACTAGCATCATGATGAGTGATGGGAGGAGAGGTAATATTACCCACCCAGAGAGGGCGAGAGCAACTATGCTTTACTGGACTCCTGGCTGCGGCATCGCAATCGGCCGATGACAGGGCCTGAACGCTTAGGTGACTGCACCACCCGGGAGCCCACAACTGCATTGGTAATCATTTTTATCTGATACCAAGAAATACTTGTTAATTGATTATAAATTAATTCATTTTTAGCAGAATCCACAGGCTCCAAAATGTACACATATTTGAAGACCACTGGCCTGGACAGTGCCTGGATTTGGGGACTATAAAGCTATTCGATTAGTCTTATGAGCTTAAGCTTGACTATAATAAGAAACATTTCTTACAGACTAGGCCAGAGACAACTTTTCAGTTCATTTAAAGAGGAGGCATCATATTTCACTTCTTGCTGAGCCTGCTCAAGGACAGCCTCAAGATTAACACAGAACTGAAAATGAAAATGCACACAGCAGTGTCTGGCTGAAAAGGAAACCAAAGAAGTGACCTTGACAACCACCTGGTCAATGTTCAACAAGTTTATAAGCACATTAAAGCTCAGTCATTCTTCAAGTCCAAACTGAGGCAATACGACTGTGGTGTCACCTGCTGGTTTCTACTATGACTAAAATCAACTTAGTCCCAAGTTAAGACACAACACCTTTCCCCTGCTCCAGGGATATAACAGGATTTGGAGATGGAGTTCAGGTTGTGAGGTTAGGATTAAGCAAACATTATGGGAAACATCCAAAGGTCTACACTCCCCTTAAACACGAACATAAATCCCAGGCAATAAGATGTGTATCTCAGCCACTCACAGAGGCCAGTTATAAGAACATTTTTATCCAGCATGTTTATCACTACCAAACACATTATGCTGCAGGCACTAAAAAGGCCTTAAATTTCAATTATATTCATAATAGAGCCACGGGAATTTCATAAGCAAAAACCATTACTGCTACTACTCAGTTACGCAATAAATAGCAATGAGATTAGAGCCTCATTATATTTCATTTTTATTACAAAAAGCCTCCCGATGCAGACTGAATGTAACTGAGCATAAAAGTGGAAGGATAAACAAGGCACGGCTCACTGAGACACGGCTCAGAAAGTGGGTGGTTGAGCTAGTAAGACAAGAATGAAGAATGTTTAAGAAAAATGCCAACTGAAACATCATGTAAAAAGCAACAAGGGTGAAGGCAGAACTAAACCTTCACGGAACTGCAATATAAGAAGGACCTAAGCCGGATAACGTGAATAACGCCTTTAAAACTCCCTGTAGTCTGGAACAAGCTGTTGTTTTGAAATGTAAGTAAAATATTCAAGTCCCTATGTATGACTTTCTGGCGCTAAAAACCAGCTTGCTTCTTTGACGGATGGCAGAAAGACTGTTGGTTTTGACCGTGTTTATGTATAGAAGGATCTAGAAAAAAAAACAAAAAAAACACAAAAGCTTTGGGAGGCATACTAGAGCTGGGCAATATGACAATATTTACCTTTATTGTGAATAATTATGTCAAAATATACTTTTCAGAGCATATGATAGATATAGTCAGTATTCAAATACATGTTTTTTGTTTGACTACAGAGAACTGTTTAAATAGACAGAGTGCAGCACAGTGTGTGACGTTGAAAACAAACCACTGTTCATATTTTTGATAGTATTTCAAACGTGGCTCTATTTTATCTTTTACAATTTATCAAATGTCAGAAAAACATACATTGTGCCATATCGAGTATCGTGAAAACTTCTTAAAGTATCGTGATATTACATTTTAGCATTATCGCCAGCTCTAGGCGGGACACAGCTCGACCGAATTACTCGGCTTTTGTGAAACTTGTTTACGATAACACCAGGATGTACGACACTAAAACAACAGATATCTGTTTTAAAAAGCAGTAAAAAGTCTAATAACGACTGCAGAAACAGGAAACATGAGACTACAATACACAAAAGTGAGTCTCTGAGGGGTTTACAAACGATGAACACAGTCAGACCAGCAGCAGCAGCGCTAGTCTGTAGGCTAACGTACACACAGCTGACCCGCTCTGAACAGCTCGTTCATTAGAAAACCAACCGCCCCTGAGCGAGTGAGCTCTGACCGAGCTGAAGGAGACAGACAGGGCGACTGAGAGGGGCTGTAGTAAAAACTTCGTGCTTGTTTTAACAGACAAACAGCCAAAACAACAAAGTTAAAGCCGAACTTACCTCCACTTAAAGCTGACTGAGAGACTCTCTGCTCACACTGGCAGCCAGCACAGCAACCTGTGAGCTCAAAAACTTCACATTATTTTCTCCCCAAACTGGCAGCTGGATTTCAAATCAGTCTGTTCCTCCTCCAATGTGCTGTGAGGCGATGAGGTTCGTGGCTTTAAATCCGCAGAAACTCTGTGAACTGAGCCGAACTGAACTGTACAGCGCCGACAGCTCATCGACCAGAGAGCTCAGACTACTTCTCCACCTCCTCCACCTTCTCTCCCTCCTCCCCAGAGAGCTGATCACATGATATTTCACAGGTACGTTCAGACAGAGAGGACTCTCACACCTAAGGGAGATCACCGCCGCTCTCCTCTCCTGGAAAACTGACCGTGTTTCTCCTGCTGACTGACTGACGATGATGATGATGATGATGACGATGAAGAAGATCTCGCCTTTCAGCCTGAACTAAATCAGAGTTCAGTGGATCCAAACACCTCGAGCTGCGACCCGTCTGTGTGTTCCAGTCAGTTTACACACGAGCAGAAAGAGCCAACAAAGTAGACGACCAGCAGAGGAAAAGCCTGTGATTGTTCCTCCCTCCTCTCTCCCTCTCGCTCCCTCTCTCCCTCCTCCCTCTTTCCTTCTCTCTCTCTATCCGGAGAGTTTTTCGCCCCCTGTGGTGAAACAAAAGCACAGTTTCTACCTCAACCAGCCTCCTTCTTAAAGTAGCTTATAGCAGTGGGAGCCCAGCAAAAGCATTTTAAAGGGGAACTCCCATCGATTTCAAAAATAAAAAATCTACATAATTAAATAGTTCAGGTGTAAAGAAAGCCGTTCAGAGTGGTTTGGTGTGAAATGCTCTGTTCTAGAGAAGCTATTCACCGTGGTGGTGACAGGAACCAGACGTCCACCTCTAAAAGCTCCCTCACAGAACGTTATTACATGAAATGGTTAGATTTATGCTGCTTGATGTCTGAGACATTATTATATGATAAAGTTTTTCTTAAAAAGTATTTTAATCAATTAATTTAAATCCATTCATGCTGGAGGGGTACATGCAGGGTGTTCTAAGGCAAAAAAGGCTCCAAAAAAGCTTATTTCAGATTTATGACTATTTTACCATCATTATAATTACATCTAAAAGACTCAGAATACATGTGTAAGTTAACAGGTGCTTTTGGATAGTAAATAAAATGGCTATATTTGTGTTGTAGACATTGTGATCCCTGGTTCCTATCACCACCATGGTAAAGAAATGTGAGTCTGTAAGTTTCTCCACAATAAACCACCACTGTGAATGACTGTTTACATCTCAAGGACTGAATTGGTTTCTGAAATTCAGAAACTTTGAAAAAGTTGGTGGAGAAAAAAATAAACATTCACGCTAAACCAGAAGCTGTTCGACATTGTTGTGGCAGTTTAGAATCTGTGAAAGCTGTTTGCTTTCTAGTAGCGTGAGATGGACATAGTTAAAGGGACACTCCAACCAAAATGTAAAATGTAATCATCAATACATCTGTTGTAAACATGCCTGAACGCCTCCCGCAGCATGCCTCAGTAGTCTCCACAGCAGGGTTTAAAGAGTTTAAAAAGTAGAAAAATCCCTCTTCCGATGATGCATCTTGAAGGTGGAAGTAAATTTTGAAAGGCAAGTGCTTTGAGGTGGAGTGATATTTGGGGATGGGCTGTTTTGTTGCTAGTTGACACAGTTTTTATTAGTATTTATTGGCCTCTAGATCAGGACTGCCCAAAGAACTTGGCCTGCCATGAACTTACCTTAATCCCTACCTCATCATCCAATGAGAAAGCAAATATAATTTTATACTCTCTCAACTTATTAAATTCTTATTTTCCAGTTAAAATGTATTTTTATGTAACATTACAAAATACATTGCCCTGCGATGGACTGGCGGCCTGTCCAGGGTGTATCCTGCCTTCCGCCCAATGACAGCTGGGATAGGCTCCAGCACCCCACCGCGACCCAGAAGGATAAGCGGTTTGGATGATGTATGTATGTATTACAAAATACATTTAAAATCTCAGACTATATATTTGTATATTGTTTTTTACTTTGGGCTCTAAGCCCACCACAAAAATAATATTTTGACCGCTCAAGACAAAAGTTTGGGCAACCCTGCTCTAGATAGGGGCTGGCAGTCAGGATTTGCTGAGCGCTGTAGGGATTCCCAATTGTCCATTTTAAGAAATGCATGCTGGGTGAGGGGTGCAATGATGCGCTACTACATAACAAATAATATATGAAATGTTAGTTTTAGGCCAGAATGCTTATTTAATTTGCGGGCTGTTAAGTGAGTGGTGTCACTGTACTATAGCTGAGTGTGTGTGTGTATGTGTGTGTGTGTTATTGAACAGTGTCACAGCTGAATGATTTGAATGATTTATGAGTATGGTAATATCAGTCTGAGGGAAGAGAGTGCCGTCCTTGCCCCGTGGGCCTGTAGAGACACACTCTCTTCTTTCTTTTTCATCTCTTTTCTTTCTTCGTCTGTTCTCTCTCCATGCTACCTACTTTTCTCCAACACACTCACATACATACATACATACATTTCTCCTTCTCAAATTCTAGGCCTCGTGTTTTGAGAGAGCAGAAGCATTAAGGAAAGAGAGAGAGAAAGGGAGGGAGGGAGAGAGAGAATAATGATAGCTGTCATGGAACAAGTGAGATGGGTCTGTGACTGAACACATTACATGCTGAGTTTTCTATAATTGGAGCCCATTGTTCTGCTGGAACAGTAACGGTCCAGCGCCTGTGTAGCTTTCAATGGAGCTGTCAGACTGCTGTTCACTGAATTCTGAGAAATTCTGAGAAATATCAAGCTCCATCCACAGAACACTGAGGCCGATGAAGGTGGCATCCTCACAGCTTTTATGGCTCCTGTTATTTGCAGGCCACAGATTTACACAGAAGGAGCTCTGGCTGTCAGTGCTGACAGTGATTTTGGTGGCCACACATGTGAAAGGAACCGATCGAAGAGCTACAGGGAAGCACCATCTGTTGCTGTTGCCGATGAGAAACTCAAGAAACTTGACCCCCCCCCCTAAAAAAAATGAGGGAAAACGTAAACACAGAGGGCACTGAGTACATGAACTTGCCTGTACGTCTGTTGCCCCCTGCTGTCTGAGAATGTAATAGCAGTTTAAAATTCTGGCGTATCTTAACACAAACCTCTCCTTATATCATATACTGTGAGTAATACATTTGTATGCAAAAGTTTAAAAATTATTACCTTAGGCGCTCCTTACTAAGTTGCTTAACCCTAAAGAAAGTCTTTTTTTTTCCATTTAAAAAGCAATGCATTTTGTTTTAGCTATACGACGGGACAAAATAAACTTCATCAGAATGTATAGTCATATGCAAAAGTTTTGGTGCCCCTGGCCAAATGACATGTCTTGTTGATTTTCTAAGTGTGGTAGTGTTAAGCTAGAGAGCAGTTGCACAGGCAAGCTGCAGGAAAGACAGCATGTTGCGAGACAGTAGATGAAAGGAGAAAAGAAGCGAGAGAGCAGTGGGCTGTGTGTGAGGAGAGAGAGAGAAATAAAGGGGTTATTTTTAGCATGTGTAATGATTAGATTTTCTTCTCTGTCTTACAGAGGTGAGCTAGTTGGCTGCTGTCAATGTGATGTATTGCAGATAATCCCCTGATTCTAATCATAAAGGTGTGTGTGCTTGTTTGTTTTCATACATTTTTAGGACTTAAATGTCCTGGTTTTGTAGAAAAATGAGATGAAAAGGGCTAAACTACAAGACCAACTATATCCTGATTTTTTAAAAGTGCTTTTTCTACAGAAGTTAAAAAGTTATGTTTCATATTTTAAAACTGAAGGCAAAACTATTTCTTTTTTGGGTTAATGAGATGAAAGTTAGGGTTAACATTTCTTATTACATATACAGTATTGTGCAAAAGTCAGAGACCACCCTTTCATTTATTCAGTTTCTAGTCAAAACAGCCATTAATTATAGGAACTATTTTTCAATGTCAAAACTGAAAAAATCCACAGGTGTTTTTGTCCATCCTTCCACCTGAAAGGACGTGTAGCTGTCAAGAAACCCTTACTGAGAAAAGGGAACAGACAGAAAAGGAGAAAAATTGCACTAGAACACTGAAACTATACATTTGAGTTGTGCTTACAGTTTTATGGGTTGATGAGTTTAAATTTGAGATTTTTGACAGCAACAAAGGGAAGTATGAATGTTGCCGAGGCAATGAAAGACTCTTCATTCCATCAGTCAGATGGATCAGTGCAAGTTTAGGGATATGAACATCTGGAGTTGGTGATTTCTTTTTGATATAAGGCATCATGAATGTTAATAAGCACAACTTTTAATAGAACATGCAGTGCTTCCCCAAAAACATTGGATTGGAAAGAAATTTATAGATCAACACGACAACCCAGACCGCACTGCTGAGAAGATCAAGACATACTTATCAAACACAGAGACTGTTGTTTTTCTCAGAACAATGGACTGACCATCCCAGAACCCAGACCTCAACATTACTGAATGCATTTGGGATTACTGGGATCGTGAGTAGCACAAAATGCAACCAACTTCTTAGACTGAACTTTGGAGGTGTGGACACATATCTCTGCAGATTTCTTTGAAAAAATGAAAAGAAGTGTACTGAAAAGAACAGAAGCTGTAATAAAGGCAAAGTGTGGACACACTAAATACTGAAAAAAATAGTATATTTTGAGGCTTCTGTGTGATTTTCTCTTGAATACATGTTTTTTGAATTTGACTGGAAATTGTATTTTCAAAAGGGTGATCTCTGACATTTGCACAGTACTGTAGGTAGTAAAATATCATTAACGTGGTAAGAAAATGCATATCTGGAATGGTGACTGTATAGGAGAAGGGAAAAAAGTGCTCTTCACTTCTGTTAATGTAAAAGTTTTCTTTTAGTCAGTTCATGAAATGTTTATACAATATAAAAAGCAACTGCTGTTCTCAAATGCTTTAAATGATTCTAACTACTGCAGAAAAGGGAGTTTTGAGGATTTCTTATCTTTTAATGATTTATTACAGAAATCACACGTATCATATAAAGCATAGGTGATATATATGACCTTACATCCTGACACCTTATAAAAACAAACGTGTGTGTGTGTGTCACACAGTATACCAGGCTGTTTACCATTATCACAATATCAGCCTTCCTCATACTGATGTGTTGTGTGCAATTTGCAGGGCCATTTCTGAACATTTGGTGGCTTTATGCATCATTCTGCTTGGGGGACTCCATCCTCCCCAGTCATATTATTTTGTATGCAGGAAATAATACTTCATTGAGTTTATTCAGGAAAACGTTTAATAAAAGCTAAAGAAAACACCACATAAAGGTGAAACAGACTTCTATATATCTAAACCATACAAAAATAAAGAAAGAATACATATTGTTAAATAAGCTTGACTGTGTGTAAGCAGACTGTCTGTCATTTCTTCCTTCTTTTTTCTTTTCATCAATAATGTCTTTATAAGAAATCTGCCAATGTCATGATGACTCAAGATATAATAAAAACAATATTCTTGCTGGTCCCCTGTGGCTCAGGGGGTTCAAAGTGACTGCTTATATTGCTTATGGCAAGAAACAGAACTGGCAACA